GAACTAGCTCCTAGAATGAATACCATACACTCAAGAGACCTATGCGACGGCTACGTTACGCTAAAGTACCAATGGGGTGGGGAAATTAAGTAGGTCGGTTGAACTCCAACAACTCACACGGAGTAAACCTGAGGATGAAAGAATTCAACTTAACTCACTTAATATCACCGTACTTGACCACTTAACATTAGTGTCGCGCAACGAAGTCAATAATCGGACGGGCTGAAACGGCTTAGATTTACTTAAACCAATGGGGTGGGGAAATTAAGTAGGTCGGTTGAACTCCAACAACCCACACGGAGTAAACCTGAGGATGAAAGAATTCAACTTAACTCACTTAATATCAGCGTACCTGACCACTTAACATTAGTGTCGCGCAACGAAGTCAATAATCGGACGGGCTGAAACGGCTTAGATTTACTTGAAGCGAACTGGTTTTTAGTTTCACCAATGGTGGGTGGGGGATCAGGCAAATTGGTTAAGTTCCAACAACACACGCGGAAAAAACCTGAGGATGAAAAAACTCAACTTAATTTGCCTGCTATTTCGCTACCAGACCACTTATCATAAGGTTGGTGTCATGTTACAGCACAGTTTTGCAGAATTATGGGGACGTTTTGACGATTTTTTTGGAAATTTTTACTTTTTTCCCAAAATTTTTCGGAAAATTTTGGTCAGCAGGTTCGAGTCGTAAACCAATCCAAAAAACTAGTCTAGTACCCCTTGTCTATGATTCGATTTCACGGATTAATATTCTGTTCACAAATATCCAAAAAATTTTGGTATCGAGAAAAAATTACCACTTGTAGCTTGCTTTGAGTTGGGATACGCAAAAACACATCGTACGTAATTTTATTGCAAAGAATGGTTTGTAAAGATTAGACTAGTCTTACAGTTTTTGACGATTTTGGAGATTTTCGGCACCGGAATTTTCGTGTTCGCCAAATTGTGATTCTGCCACTGGGGAACCGCTTGGAAGATTTCGAGCTCCGGAGCGTAGGAAGAATCACGATCAATCAACTCGCAAATTGCGTTGAGAGAGAAGTTCAGAAATTTTCGGTATTGCATGACCTCGCTTGCATTCCGGTCCAAAAACTCTTTGCAAATGGCGGTCAAAGTGTTCAATCCATACAGCGATCAGTCGTCAGATATAAGACAAACATTCTCAACAGTGAGTGAAATTTTTAAATAACTCGCAATCGACTCCTCAAGTAGCTCGAATCTATACTTGTGTGCCAATCCTAGAATTTCCAACACTTCGGGCTCTGAATATTCACTTATTGCCAACTTTCCCGTGTAGATGTACTTAAGCAATGCACCGAACACCAAGGCAGTTGTATCGTCAATCACAAATACAAATTCGTCCACGCAGTTTTGCGACTCCTTAAAAGGGGAGCACTCGGAAATAATCACTGCGACTAGCGAGGATCACTCAGTGACTCACAAACCTCTCGCCTCCAACGACGAAACTGACATCACTCGTGTCCCTTGTGGGCGTAAATCGTGCGCGTAAATCTCCACGATTATATAAAAAACGGTTTTCAAACACTTTAATTAATGAGTATTTTCTCGGCAAAATAACTCCGGAAGTTTGAAAATATAACGATAATTTATAATTTTTAACAAGCTTTATCATCGGTAACATCGGCCACAATAAACTGCATAACTCAAAGCAAGCTGGAAAAATGGCCAGTATTTGTCCTTGAGACAAATTGCTCTTTTTAAAGGTCAGCCTTAATCAAGGCTGAACCAAATTAGAGCGAAAAGACGGTTAAAATAGGTTTTGGGGGGGGGGGGGGGGTTCGAACCTGGGTACGGAGCATCCCATCAAGTTCGGTGCATATTCGAGTTCTAGAAAGGAAATGACCTAGTCGGGATTCGAACCGGCGCCGAACCCGCCGGGACGCACCCTGTATACGCTTGGCTACTGTCCCTATATGCATGTACATTTTGGTTCAGTTTCATATGCATTTATACTATTGTTTTATATTTGCGCTGCAACAACTGACAATGGTTCACGACATGTGTCTTAGAAAAACTTTACAGGCATTACTACTAGTTTTAGATCCCCTCTCTAGCTATCACTACAATCATAGCCAAATAGCTTGTGAACAAACTAGGAAATTTACTGGGGGGGGGGCAATTTCGGGCTTTTTTACGAAGTTGTATAAAACAATTTTGAAACGCAGCCCGTTTTAATTTCTATCTTTGCCATTGCCAACGGTGATTTTAGGGCGGATTAACAAATTTCGGGGGCTCTAGAAAAACCTTTACCTCCAAAAATTTGAGCTGCGGGTAAGTTTCTGACGAAACTGGCCAAAAATTGCGTTTTTTGGCAAGCATCACAGTCAAATTTAGTGTTTTTTTTGTCGTCGAATTTGCCTTTATGAAAATACTAGGTTTGGTTAACCAAGAAATCATGTCGTCAATTATTACCCTAGGGGGACTCTTTGTGTGGCTAGTGTGTCTAACCCCTTGTGACAGGAGGCACCTTCTCAAATCTACTCCTGTCTGACTATATAACTCCTTTTCCCCTTTTTGCGGAAATCTACCGAAAACAGAGCCAACATATGCAGCAGAGGAAACATATGAAAACAAGATTGCATTTTTGAGAACAAAACGCTGAATGTCACGTCAATATTGTGACGTGTTTCAGGTAGATAATTATTTTGCCTGATAACGGTTTTTTTTGGATCAACATAGCTTTTCTTAGTTCAGGAATGATTTCTGAGCAACATTTGTTCACCTAGTACGCTACACACAGTAGCGAACCGAAGCAGGGGGGTGCGACCACCTCCCCTTTTAATCTGGTTGCCAGTCTTTTCCAAAGGGCCCCCCTTTGGTATAATTTTACTGGATCCATTTTCGGCTGGCCAAGATCAAAATTTTCTAAGGTGCCAAAATAACTAAAAAGCGTCATTTTCACAAAATTGGGTCTTCACAAAATTTTCACAAAACTTTCACTTAGACTTTTCTACCCCTATGAAAGAATATTTAAGCCGTTAAACATGCACGAGTGTCCCCCTTTTGAAAAAATGTCACCACTTTTGAAATAAGTTGTCTTCAGACAAGTGGTTTTCAGGGGTGTAGTTAACTTAAAAAGTTCCGTAGTCATCTCAATTTTACTTTTTGATATTAGAGCCAGATAGCTTTCGTGGACAAACAAGGACGCCTAGGCAACACCGTCCTGATGATGAGCCTCAACTCGAACGGATGGTCGCGTGACCTACACAACTACTGCGCGTGTGAGCTTGTCAACCGAATAGCCGATACACGAAACGACTCGACGGTTTCTAGACAGTCTTGTCGCACTCTGGTATATCCTTTTTTCGGCACATCTCTGGCGTCATTTTCAATCACAATTCCGAAGAGAGGCGCTCATCAGCGGTTTCTGAATTTCTACGACTTCCCAGGCCGGTTTTTTATTTTTCATGCTTTTATACTTTAAAAAATCATGTATTTATTCCCTGTTAAATTTGTAATAAGTTTCCTCCCATGACGAGTTTACGCATAAATTCACCTGAATGAATACAGTTTTTGCTTATTTCTTGGAAGAATCTTAAAAATTTGATCTGAAAAAAGCACAAATTCTGTATTATTTATAAAATAAAAATCTGAACTGCCATGAGATTTTCCGCCCAATTTGGATTACATCAAAAAAAAACTTATAGGCATCAAGCGCAGTGCCAAATTCCCATTTCCAGGTTTCTTCTCTAAGGTCTGGGGTCGAGTCTCGGCCGGACTTTTTTTTGCAATTGTATGCAATTGATTTTTTTCGGTAAAAATAGAATTGTCGGACTTTCGCTTGTCTGCACAAGTTTTCTCGGCTTAGTTGGCACATCACGGATTTTGTTTGTGCTGTAAATAATTTTGTTTGCAGCTGCAAGTGCAAGTGTTGTTCATTCAAGTTTCAGTGAGGGATTTGAAAGATTTTAAACTTTTTTATCTTATAAACTTTTCCCCCTCAACTTGTGTCTGCTCAAAGATTGTCGGCTTTGTTTCCATTTTGTAAGTTTTGTTCCGTTTCTAACTTCTATTCAATTGTCTGGCATGTATGCCTAGAGTGAATTTTGATCAAGTCATACAAAATGCTGGTAGACTTAGTTTTTTTTAAAAAAACTTGATATATTGTCTAGCTTGTGTCTGTTGATATATTATCTAGCTTGGGCCACTATTTTCAAATTTTTTAAATAATTTCGTATAGTTTGACAAGCGAGTTTTTGGTTTAAAATTTCACATTTTCAAAATTTTTACTGGTTTTCCTCCGGGTTTTGTATAAATTATCACGAGGTGCGTTACGTCTTAAAATGTGTGTGAAATCTATATTCTTTCTTAATTTCTATCAAGCAGCGTTCGCTTCATAACAATTGATGAAATTTTCAAAAAAAAAATTCAAACTTGAGATTTTTTTTAAAATAAAACCATATAAAGTACAAAGGATAGATTTCACTCCTGGTAACATAGCAATTGGACCAATTTGAAACAATTTCTTATTTGGAACAAATTCTAAGGTGGATTTTAAAACGTTAAAAGCGCAAAATAGGCGACGCTAAAAGCGAAAAATATTGCGCGTTTATTGTCCTAATTTGGCCAAAATGGCAATGTTTAAACACCCATAAGTTTACAAAAAGTTATCAAAGGTAAAATATATTTTTCAGATTGAGCTCAGGACACTAGTTCCTTTCAGATGATATGAAAAACTCTGCCAACAATGGCTAGTTAAAAAAATAGAATTTTGTTTGAAGAGAAAAAACCACCCCGAGCACAACTATTCCGTCAATTTCTGCAAAAGTCGGAACAATTACTTCCTCAGTTGCCTTTTTCTCTTTTTAATTAATTCTTCAAACGTCACTTTCTTCAAAAGTCAGAACAATTACTTCCTCAGTTGCCTTTTTCTCTTTTTAATTAATTCTTCAAAAGTCACTTTCTTCAAAAGTCAGAACAATTACTTCCTCAGTTGCCTATTTCTGTTTTAATTAATTCTTTAAAAGTCACTTTCTTCAACAGTCGGAATAATTATTTCCTCAGTTGCCTATTTCTCATTTTAACGTTAATTATCTATCGATTTGTTTTAACAAGTTTTAACACAGTATAGTAACTACATTATGAAAACATCTGTGGTAACTTTTCATTGCCAAAGCAAATTTTCTTGCTAGGCAATGCTAATATATTTATAGCGTTGCTAGTGAGGTTTTGGACTTCAGAAATAAATCTCTGGCATCATCATAATTCCACAAAGTTAGCAAGTTTCTTGTTGGCCAGTTTAGGTTCCTAACTAGAGACATGAGTATACTTTGAACAATGCTTCAAAGGACAAACTGGACACAAGTGATGGTTTGAAAAACTTTTATCTTTCTTAGGATAAGTCGCAAAATGTAGACAATATAACTTTAGTGCTTTGCTTCAAGATTTTTTGATTGAGCTATAAAAGTGTTCTTGTCATTTGATGATTGCAATTTTCCAATCAAATTAAACGGGACATAACAAATGAACTAATTTTGCTTAAATAGAAAAAACTTAGGCGAAAAGACTTGAAAAATAATGTCAAGAGCATTTGCCTCTGAAAAAAAATGTTAAAAAAACATTTGTAGCGCAATTTTGACCAAACCCTGTGACGAAAAACGAGTAGCACTTTTGTAACTGTTAAGTACCGGGAAAGTTCAACTTATATTCCATGCTTCTGTTTTGTAATTCTGAAAGTCTGAAGATATTACGTTGAGCAGGTTTTAGAAAAATAATTCTTCCGTCTTTATCAAACTGTGCGATTTGTGGAATTATAAAAAGAAGCAAGAATTATAAACTGAATTATCCAAGTACTTTAGCAGTCATGTGCTCCCTATTTTGGATCTGAACTTCGGAACAGAATTTTTGCACTAAATTTGGATAATTGTTGAATACAAGTATATTATAAACAAAATACAAGACTGCTCGTATCAATTATTAATCAAATTATTATATTGGAGCGACTTCAAGCCTAATTCCGCGTGCAATAAGAAACCGTAAACGTTTTTAGACGACGAAAGAGAACAAGACTGCTCGTATCAGGGCAAAGCCCTGAAAATTCCGACTACCTTTTAAGATCTATGGAGCAGTAATAACATAAAAAATTTAAATGTAATAAAACAAAACTAAATTTAAAAAAAAATGAGATTTTTTGTGAAAACATCACCCACACGCCATATTCAGTACAAAGTGATAAATTTTTCTCCTATTAACAAATCAATTATGGCATATGAGCTTCTTTGACCAATTTGGAACGATTTCTAAGACGGATTAAATCTCCGCTTGCTGAATAATAGCGCGGATATCGATGAATATATCGAGCGTTAATTGTCTCAAATTGGCAGTCTTTAAACCCTCATACATTGTTAAAAATAATCACAAGTAAAGTATTTTTAAATATTTTTGCTCAGGACAACAAGACTTTTCAGCTGTTATATAAAAAATATCCGTCAAAAATTCTTAGTTAAAAACTCGTCGAAATTTGTCTGAAGAAAAAAACCACCCCGAGCACAAATATTCCGTTACTTTCCTTATGAAAGTCGGAACAAAAAATGTTCAGGACAAAATGAACAATGTTCTGCTAATTTTCTCCTGATATTTTATACTTGTTTTTAAAATGAGATTTTTCAGGACGACGGGATTTGGGCCAAGTGATGAAGCTGAGCTGTCATCATGAAAATCTTGAGGTGAGGCCCGTCTTCATGGCTACAATCGCATTCATGTCATGGAACGACACTATGGACCTGCTCAAAAGTATGGATCAGCAGCAAATTCTTGCGGTTAGTGATCTTTTGCTTTTTCGACAAATTTCTACAAGAGCTTCAATAATGGTACAAAATGATAAAAAGTATCGCTTTACGTTTCATATAGTTTCACCAGAAAGTCATATTGGCTGAATTAGGTGCATGTTTACGGGAGATGCAAGGAGATCCCCCTCGAGGATTTGACCCTCGTGCCACCCAAAGGTTCCCCTTTACGACTTTTTGTGGTGGATCTTTGCCGCCAAAACACAATAAAATTAAGAGGGAAGGGTGCGCCGAAATTCATGGTCAAAATTCTCCAAAATGTGCCTTTAAGCTTCTTTTTTAATCGTTTTTTTTCTAAATTTCTCCGCGGCACAGATTTTTGACAAAATAGTGTTTTGGGAGAGCTCGGAAAGTCAATTTGGCCGATTTAAAAAATCTACAAATATTTCTTTTTTGAGAGATTAAATTTGATTTAATTTTGACAAATTAAATTTATTGAGAATCCAAACCTGAAGAATGACTGGATTCCCCTTGGGTTGGATTACTTTCCCTAAACGTGTGTTCACTAATTTGTCTTTGTTTAAAATGGATCACGTAACTTGCTGTTAAAATTGTCCGAATAAAGCGAAACACAAAAAATTACAAATGTCTTGTTTTTCAAGTTCTTTGTGGATTTCATGGCCAACTTTCCATTCTACATCTTGGAGTCCGGAAGTCACAACTTGCTGTTGCTCAACCGACAAAGCGTGAAAAAGCTGGACGATGAGGTCAGGTCAGCTTTGATAATTCTATCATCCGCGTCATGCCTCTCATTACGTTTTACCAACTACTTATAATTTAATTGTTTCTTGTATACTTTCTTGTACATTGGCCCTGCTACTTTATTTTAAAAATTGTTTACATTTTTTGACGGTATAGCAAAACGCCCGATTACAAAATCAACTTCAAGTAAAAAATACACACGTGAAGCTCCGCAGGTAAAACCTGATGAAAATGCGGTTTTAATGTGGTCTTAAATGCTGTCTAAATATCCAACATTTTCCAGCAACAAACTTACTAAAACATTAAAATAAAATATCAAAACTAATTCCAAAAACATTATTACTATAGTTAGCTTAATCGATAATTTAAGATCTTCTTTTATGACTAGTACCCGGGTTGACCTCCATAGACCGAAAATGCTAATCTTACAATTTCATACACTTAGTCTATGGAAAATTTCATATTTTTTTGCAAAATGAGTTTAATCGAATTTCAAAGGTATTTTATAGTTGTTTTGGTATCGAAATTGGTATCTCTTCATAAAAAAAGGGAAAAAAATAGTATGAAAAAAAATGCTAACCATACAATTTCCATATATGGAAACTGTATGATTAGAAGTTTTAAAAAAAAAATTTTGTGAAAAAAAAGCTTTGATCAATCAATTCAACTGCTGGCAAAACATTTAAGCGCTTTTTCGGCTGCTACGACTAATAACTTTGACTTTTTTTATTTTTGTTTTCTGAAAAAAAAACACTAGTCATAAAATTTCCATATATGGAAATTGTATGACTAGCATTTTTTTTGATGGCGACGACAAAATTTTCTGAAATTGCCCCCAAACATTTTTGTGTTTTTTTTTCAACCGCAAATTGATTTTCGTATTCAAACAAACATATATTTTGGTTTTTGGAAAATATTTTTGGTTTATGGAAAAATGCTAGTCATACAATTTCCATATATGAAAAAAAACTAACCATAGACCTTTCATGCAATTTTCTGTACGTATGGAATTGTATGGAAAGTGTATGACTAGCATTTTTCCATATATGGAAATTGTATGACTAGTATTTTTGGTCATCCCGGGTATCGAGAATAAACAAAGATAAATCAGGGTATCGCCGTATGTTCTTGAGGAGAACAAATCATTGAGCGCGCGACTGACTGCTCAAATGCAAATTACTCCCAGCAAAACTACAGTTACGGCGTAACATAGAAGTTGCAACTTTTTGAATTCAACGAACAAATGAACACACTTGTTCTTCGCGGTTTTTGTCGTTTTCTCTATAACTATTTAACGTAGAGGATTGAAGTTCTGGCAAAAGCTAAATGAAACTATTTGAAAGGACTTAACCCGGCCAATGCTTGGGAAAAATTGTTCCGAAGTCGTAAGTTAGCCAGTATATCAGAACTAATTTTATAAGTGGTTTTGCTGTGCAACCATCATCGCAAACAATAAAAGAATTTGAATGTATGTGCTCAGATAAAATTTTTGGGAAATTGATGAGCTTAACTGAGCTTAATTTACTCTTCATAACGCCATAAAACGACAGACAAAACAATTGGAAGAGTTACTTGGTCCAACTTTGAAAAATGGTCATATTTGAGTTGACGACACAAATATGAAAAAATTTTGGGAGTATATTTGAGGACAAAATAACTGCTAATGAGAATCTTGTGCCTGAGTCGGATTAGTAATTTTTCCGAAAATTTTTTGGGAACAGTTTTGTTGGCTTATTTCGAACATCAGCGCAAAGTTATTGATAAACATTTGGCTATTGTACCGGACGCCAGAACAAGTAACTCTATCAATTCTTTGTTCTATCATTTTTCGGCGGCATAAAAATTTAGTTAAGCTGATCAGCTTCCCAAAAAAAATCTTTTTGAGCGTATGCATTCAATTTCGTTATTTTGTTTGTGAGGATTCCACTGCTAGAAGACTTCTAAAACTGGTTATGATATACTGGCTAATTAACGCCTTCAAAACACTTCTCAACTTTGGATCCGGCTCGTTGCTTTCAGATTTTGTTATCTAGCATGAGTCAAATTTCAACTTACTTAGTTGCAGAGAAAATGACAAAAAGTGGAGAAAAATATATTCATTTGCTCGTTGACATCAAACTGTTTCACCTTCTATGTCTCGTGATTGTACTTAATTCAAAAATAAGCCTTTTAAAAATGTTTGATTTAATGCATACATAAAAATCAAAAATTGACTATTTTTTCAAAGAGATTTCTATGAACTTTCGAAGCAAACAAATAAAAATAGAAAAAAAAATTACTGATTTTTATTAAATGTTTTGCTTTTTGTCGAGTTAAGGACTATAATGAAACCGATAAGGGCATTTTATTTTCAAGGTCAACTTCTTGAACCAGTATGTCGTTCCCCAAATCAGTCGAACAGCCTCGCACTCGGCGAACTACACAGAGATAGTGTTCGCGTGGGATACAGATGTGGTGTCTCAGTACAAACTAGTCACAATTGGGAACTACTTCGGAGTTGTGAGACTAGTCGCTACTGTGTTCCTCGCAGCCGAAAGACTCTACGCATTCAGTTGCAATTTCAAAGCGATCATGTCAAATAATTGAAGTGCAATATTGAAATTTATTGAGTTGAAATAGTCTGTATTCCAGAACCTTCACCACAAATTAGCGCGGGGGGGGGGGGGTGTGTGTTGTTCGGCGGGATTTTTACAGTTATCCAACAATTTTTATTCAAAAATGAATACTTTGTTTATTGTTGAAACAAACTTCATTGATTATATAGTTTATACAAAATATATTGTTTAAAAAATATATTGACTGGGCCGTTAAAACATAAGTCGAAATCAGTTAGGCTGAAAAAATTTCCAGGCGAAAAAAAAACATACACTGTATATAAAGTCAGGGATAGTAAGTTTACAATCTGCAGGAGTAATCAACAACACTAGCAACTACAAAACAAAGTGCCTGCAAAAAATTCGGAATGTACACACAAAGCAAACAAAACAAACAGACAAGCGATAGGCCGAATACTACATTTTTGCCGGAAAAGAACTTCAATTTCGTACATGGTAAAAGAAGCGCGAACTCGAGCCCCAGGCTTTAAAGTGCAAAAGCAACCTCAGTACTTTGCATGGTTTGAAAGAATAAAGAAGAAGAAGAAGAAGAAGAATTAATTTCACTTAACAATCAGATACACTATTACATTAAACAAAGAATATTTTTTATCACATAATAAATGAATCAACAGTTTACCCAGGATTGTTAAGTGAGGATACGCAAAGGGTTTTCTTCAAACCCACTAGGAGAGTACCCCACAGATTACACAAAAGAAAAGCACATCAATGAGTTATGAATAAGTGATAAATATAATATTTAAGAAACCAAATAGCAAAAAGAAAAAACTATAAGTTTTTTTAGAAATTAATTAACGCCTCATCCACCTCGCGAAAAAAAGCCCTTATATTCTCTAGAAATTTGGGCAGAGAAACGCCCTCTTTTTGACCATTTTTCAAAATTTCTTGAAATATGACTATGTCCTTTAGGTGCAAAGCAAAACAACCCAAAACTGTATACCCATACTCAGACTTGAATAGTATTAAACTATGATGCCCTGAGACAACGTCTGGTCTTCTGAAAGAATACAGTTCGAGCCGCCTCACCCCGCACCTGAACACAGTCATATTTATAATCATAAAGCAAAAATATACCTAACAAGTTCGTAATTTTCATGTATAAACGTATCTCTTAGCATATGTGCCAATTTATTTAGTTCCCCTTTTTTTAAATTTAAAACATTTTCCGGGAGCAAGTTATTATCTCTAAATATCTTCAACAGTTTGCATCCTCTTAACCATATCGATTGTCTTTTCGTTTTTGTCTTACAGCAAGGAGCCTCAAATTGAATACCTATCGAATTTCTGGTAAAATAAGCCGATTTTGTTTTTAGAGTGAAAAAATCGTTAAGAAATGCGGTTGAATTCAACTTGTTTATTGATCTTAAGCAAAATTTGAGAAGATCGTACACATACAGCTCATGAACTGTTAAAATTGTGTGTTCTCTAAACCTTTCCCTAATACTATCAAATTTCCTTACCTTGTAAATCATTCGAATTATTTCTTTCTGCAAAATGAAAATTGGATTGAGATTCGAGGAGCTCGTTCCCTCATATACAAGTAATCCATATTGTATAATGGGTTTGATGTTGTAACAATAGTATTTTATTAGCACATTTATCGGTACAAATTTTCTCATTTGAGCAATAACTCCACAATGCCTTCCTAGTTTCGCTTTTATTTTTTCAACGTGCGTACAAAATGACAGTTTTGAATCCACAAAAACACCTAGATATTTGCAATACGCCTTAGAAGTAACCATATAATTGTTAATGCACAAATGAAGACTGGAAGCACTTGTTTTATTTTGGAAACTTAGTAATATTGATTTGTCTCCATTAAGTGTTAGCTTATTTCTATTTAGCCAGTAACATATATTTTGTATGTCCCTGGCGAAGACCTCGAAAGATTCGTTTTCACAAGTGACATTGGTATCATCTGCAAATAGGTAAACGGTTGTGTCTTTTGCGCAATTGGGCATATCATTAATATATATTAAGAACAATAACGGACCGATCACGGAACCTTGCGGAACTCCATGCGAAACATTCGTCCAATCAGAGTAAACGGAGTTTGTGAACACACATTGCCTACGATTGCAGAGATAATTTCGAAACCAATCATTACACAATCCTCTGATTCCGTAGTTTTCTAATTTGTGTAAAAGTAGTTCATGATCTAATGTATCAAAGGCTTTCTTAAGATCTAGGAACATACTGAAATTCATTGACTTATACCGTACCTAAGTTTTTCTGTTAACTCAACTAATGCATCAATAGTATTGTATTTTTGTCTAAATCCAAATTGTTTTTCATATAAAAGGTTGAACTTGTTCAAATAGTTGTATAGGCGAATATGCAATAATTTTTCAAAGATTTTACTGCAACAATTTAGTAAAGAAATGGGCCTGTAGTTATTTTCATCTGTTTTACTACCTTTTTTATAGAAGGGCTGGATTTTGGCGCTCTTGAGTTGTTCGGGATATTGGCCGGATTCGAATGAGAGGTTTATCAAATAAGTTAAATATGGCGCAATTTCATGGAAACTTTCTTAATGATAATATTGCTTATTTCATCTACTTCCGTAGACTGTTTCGCTTTTAGATTCTCTATTATTTCCAGGACTTCGAACATTGTTTCTTTGTGTAAGAACATTGATTGTGGTGCATTATATTTTGAATAAGACTCATGAGACTCTCTGCTATCACTTGGTAATGATGCCAGAAGTTTTGAAGCAATGTTAGCGAAGTGATCATTCAAGTGGCTGGCGATCTCCTGATTATTATCTATTTCTAAATCTCCATTTTTAAGAAGAGGAACGTTTCCAATCCTTGGACATTTTCCTATTATTTCATTTAATATTTTAAAAATCTGGCTCGAGCAATTATTGAACCTATTGTAATAGTAATTTATTTTGCTTAGCTTAACTAATTTTTCTACTTTACTCCTCTCGTCGAGGAATTTTTCGCGCTTGGTCTTATTTGTTTTGTTACATTTCCATTCCTTATACATTCTGTTCCTGGAACTAATTGCCTTTTTTATTTCTTTGCTGACCCACCCTGCCGAAGAGCAATCTTTTGCAGTGCATATTCGTACAGGTGCATATTCATCATTCGTTTTGTTAAAGCAATTTTGGAAAGATTCGTACGAGGAATTGTTATTTTCATCAACTAAAAGTTGTGCTCCTTCTAATTTTACTTTAAGGGAATTTTGGAAACCAAGGATTTTAACTTCATCGTTAAGGAATTTTAAAACCCGAAATATTTTCGTTGTATCCTGTTTACGAGATATTCTGAATTTTAGCGAAATTGGGCAATGATCAGTAAACGTATGCTCTTCCAAAATTTTTACTTTCTATTCCGGAATATTTTTTACAAAGAAATGGTCGATAAACGTGTTTGATTCAGCTGTTATTCGAGTTGGGGTATCACTTGTGAGAATGAAGCCATTTGCTGCTATAGTATTTAGATAGTTATTCACAAGGTTACTTTGTTGTAAGATATCAATATTAAAATCACCGCCAGAAGTTATAGGGCCATTGTGGTTTGACATTTCTTCAAGAAACTCATCTAATTTTTAGATGAACAATCCTTTATCGGAACGTGCCTTTAAATAGGTAACAACCAAAATGATTCTAACATTCGCATATTTCACTAATATTGCCTTAGTTTCTGGTAAGCTACATTTTATCTCTTGGATGTAACTAATATTATCTCTAATTTCGATCATCGAACCACCACCTCTATTCATTTGTCTATTACAAGCAAAGGACGTGTAATTTTTCATTGAAAAAAAGCTCTTTATTATCTTCCTCACTTAGCCATGTTTCTGTAGTAAAAATGACTTTTGGAGACTCGAGACATTTAAATAGTGCTTCCAGTTCTTCACTATTTTTTTAATCGATCTAGTATTACAAAACAAGACAGTAAAATTAGTAATTACATCGCACTTGGAGTTTTCAGGTTCCAATGGAGCCAGACTCTCCCTTAAAAATATCACTTTTATTTACAAAGCAATTCATTACATCTTTTACAGTATATCCCAACTGCGCCACTCCTTCGTAAAGGCTAGTTATTTTTTCATTTCTTTCGCTGTTCTTCCACTGATAGAGCAGATTCCCGTCCCTGGTCCAAACTCCATTAAAACGGTTATCCTGTTTCATGAATTTCATAAAATTAACCCTTGTACTAGTCAGATCTTCAAACACTTGAATTTGGGCACTCTGTTCATTGTCTTTGATTGCCTTCTTTTTCTTTTTTCGCAGAATTTTTATTTTCGCCACCCTTCTCGAGAAACGTACAACAATTGGTCGGTTTGCGTTGTTTGTCCGAGTTGGCAACCGATGCGCTATTGAAATATCAGCAGGAGTAACATTTACCCCAATGTTTGTTGCCAATTGGATAACATTGTTGATGGTCTTGTCATAATTTTCAAAAATGCTGTTACCATTCGAATCCCTTTGTACTTGCTCTGGAAATCCCAATATCTTCAAATTATCTCGCCCATTGTAATTCTCTAGCTGTTCGTCTTCGCACATGGCTTTCACGAGAGTAACCGTTTCACTATTTTTAGTTCTTTTCGTACTTCCCCAAGAATTTCGTTTTTTGCTGCAGTCAAAAGCTCATTGATCACTTGTCGAACTGTCCCTTTTAGATCCTCAGTCAACATTTTCACAATATCTGGAATTTTGTTTTCAATTGCCTTTTCAATGGTTGCTTCTAGTTTTTCTAATACGGGTTCTTCGTCTGGTGGGCTGAGAGCAGCACTTGTCTTTTTGTTGTCGGGTTTAGCAATTGGCGTCTGGTCTTGGAATCTAAGAGTGGGTGGATCAGTCGCGGTTTCATCATGTGATTCCATTTTCACTTCTCTGAAACTATTTTATAAGTTTATCACTACAATTAGGAGAATCAATTTTCAAGCAAGTTCAATCAACGATACAGGAAAAGCATTGCAGTGAAAGATAGTGAACAGATAAAGAGACATATTTATCATGGAAAAAAATGTTGAAAAAATCATTAAAAAAACTTCATATGATTACCATGAATCAAATTTTTTTAGACCGCCTGAGAAAATATTGGGACTCCTTTAACGAGCGGCAACTAAGCCAACAAAACTCGACTCCCATGATCGCTAACTTGCCAGAAGTACAGACAGTCTAGATTTTTTTCCAGGTAGATTTTTTTGCAGGTCTAGATTTTTTTGCAGGTAGTGTAGATTTTTTTTGCAGGTAGTCATCTTTTCAGAAACCCGAATCCATCAAATGGTTCCACTATATATGTATTTTTCTAAATGAATGCTAGAGCACCAATTTTCTCTGTATGCTAGAGCACCAATAGCCCAGCTTAGTTCTTAACTTTTCGTTCATTTCTGACTTTTGGCGCGTTGCGGTTTCCCCGACATTAGAACTGTGCCAAAAAACTTACAATACAAGCAATTGTTTGAAGACTCCGCAATAATTTAACGAAAGGCTTCTACCAACAAGCTTTGTTATCTTGTCGAACATCTTGTTTCAAATCTGAGCTCCGTACTGTGCACCTAAAAATCACAATTTGGCCTTGTACTCACACTTAAAGCCAGCTGCCAACAAAACACCAGCTTTTGTCCATCGCATGAAAAAAATGTAAAAATGGAGGTAAAACGGAACTTCCCATTCCAAATTGTTTAGAACTTCGGAAACCAACAACTTACAATAAGAACTTAATTTCTCTCTTGATCTTCTAAATAGCGGAGAAATATTTCGAAAGCAGTGCGATAATACCGAAAAAAAAATGAAACCTATTGAGTCAGAAGAACCAATTGGTTTTATTGGAGAATCTACAGAAATTGTTACAAAGTTTTGCTTATGAAAAAATAAAAAACGCTAGCAGACAAACGCTTGTTTAAATCCTAGCTCGCACAGTATGTGCTCGACAAATTAGTGCTCAATTTTTGCATGAGTGTACTGTTTGAAATATTTTTAGAGGCTAAATAGCATCTGCTTTATTGATGACCGATGTTTGGATGACAGAAAACTGCCATAGCGCAGTTGTGAAGAAAGAAGATTCGGCCTCTCGCAATCAGATGTTTCAGTTTGAGAAGCAGTGATTTCTTTTTCCACGCCGATTTAATTTTTTTTCATGCCTTTTAAAACCTTGCTGCGCCTCAGGATAACAAATTAATTGTAGCCCTTGACGATTTTGAAAACAAAACGACAAAACAAAATGAGTGTTTTTTGTTTCTTCAAAAACAATGAACTATAACAAAACTTGACAATATCTAAACTGGAAACACTTTTGAATTAAATTTGAATAAAAAACTATGAAAAAGCCAAAGTACCAAAACCTAAATTGCAATTTCAAAATTATTTGAGAAGCTTTGGAAACTATTGGAAACGAATTTCGGTTGCATGAACTAGAGGGAGATAATTGTGTTATAAAATGCTACGCAAATTTTTTCGGGGAAACTATAATTAGAAAAAATGATCATTAAAGCCGACAATGTTAGTCATTCGAACAGATATTTAACATTCGAATACATATTCAACAAAGCGATGTAGTTGGCTTGCAAAAAAAAAGTTGAAAGTAAGGCAGCAAAAAAGCAGCGAATACAAATAATCATAAAACAACAAGGAAATTTTATGAGAAGAAAAATACCGCAAAACTACTGGAAAAAACTATTAAAGGATGCAGAGTATTTTTTATGGACTATTAAGCTAAAATTAAAAACACTGCATGCATATGACTGCATGCATATGGCTTGTACTGCATGTATATGACTTCGTGCAGAAATCTGTGAACAAAGTTCCCATCTGGAGAAAAGGACTGGCACCCGGTTGCAACCTACTTGCTGTCGCAAAAGTATTTACCAGGTTTGACCAAAACTTATTATTATACAATTTTTATATATGAGAAACTTCTTGTCATACAATTTTATACAATTCCATACGTTCAGAAAATTGTATGAAATCTCTATGATAAGCATTTTTCCATTTATGAAAATTGTATGATAGCTGTTTTTCCATAAATCAAAATTGATTTTTTGTTTCTAAATTTAATTTCTGAAAAATTTTGGGTTGTGTTTGTAACCGAACACAATTGACAAAGATCTTAGTTTACTCAAACACCAAAATTTTTGGCAACATTTTTCAACGGTAATCGTTTTGCAAATTTCATTTTTCATATTATCAGACATTGATCAAGGCTTACATAAACACGCCATACAAAAGAAATTGAAAAAAGTTATAAAGCGAAAAGGAAAAAAACAACATAAGTTTATCCAGGATGACTACGTTATGCAAAAAAAAAATTTAACTTTTCAAACGAAAAAAAAATTCGGAATATGTTTTTTTCTTACAAAAATCGATTTGCGGTTGAAAAAAAAAACAAAAACACTTTTGGGGCAATTTCAAAATTACTTTCAAAAAAATTTTTGTGTCGTCATCAAAAAAATGGTAGTCATACAATTTCCATATATGGGAATCGCATGATAAGCATTTTTTTCAAATAAAAACAAAAACCTCGGTTTTTTATCAGCAGATTGTTTTATTAGAATCAAACAGCCGCAGAAATTACTTTATATTTTTTTCAACCGTTTTTCAAAAGTGTATGGAAATTGTATGACAAGCATATTTTTCCACACACCTAATACATGGAACAACTGTATGATAAGCATTTTTGGTGTATGGAGGTCAACCCGGTTAGAGAAAAAGATATGGAGAATTTTCATTAGAAATTTGTTCTTTTTCCGTTTCCTCACCATCATTAAAAAAAAAACATAATGTTCACGTTGTCCGATTGTTATAAAAATTGACGCGCGGATTAACTATGCCATTTATGTGAGGTGAGCTGGTGAATAAGACAACAAGCCGAATATTTTTTTGCTTATACTTAGAAAAACAATGAACCGGTGTTTCACACAAATCAACTAAACTTTTTTCCGTTATACAGAAACGCTCTAGTATTCAGAAAACATCATAAAATTGACGGCTATTGTGTATGAGAGTGAATGAGTGTATATAAATATTTCAAAAATTTTCTAAGAGAAAGAAAACAAACACTTTTTAGCTCTCTTATTAATCAGTAATATCGACAGATTTGTTGTTTTAAATTGCATTATTAGTTTGCTTTACATCGCCAAAATCTTAACTATTGAGACAATCCACTACATTCAGAAGGTTTTTGAGGAAAGGAGTCCGGCGTATTGGGATTTGTGTGAAGTAACTTGCCCACTTGAAAGACTCAAGGTGAGTTGTTCGTTTTTTAAGAATGTGTTTTTTTAATAAGGCAAACGGCACTTTTCGTTTTTTTTAAAATCGCGTATTTTTATAGATCATCAAAATTTTAAGCTTTTTGTGTTTCGCCTTACTTACCGGCTGTTTGCGCAATTACCATTAATATGCTCACAAACTTGTCATTTGAAACAGCACCAACAAAACTTCGGCGAAGACTTAATGAAAAAATCCTAATGAACTACTAATTTGAACTACCGATATCAATTGGTTGATGGTAAATTTTGAGTCAGGTAGTAAAAGAATTTCCAATTCGTTTGTTTCATTCACTTTGAAACCATTTGAGTGCAGGATAAATGATCTCATAAAAATCACTCGCTTTCCGCTTTTAGCATCAAACATGAAACCTTCAAACTGCGCAAAATTAATCCAAAAATTTTCCAAATAAGCAAATTAAAACCCCATATTTTTAAGAAAAATGGTTTCAGAAAAAATATCCGTTTGCATTTAAACTCAGTATCTTTATTGGAGTATAAAAAATTTTTGTTAAAAAAGAATGTCGATAGCCAAATTTAATCTGAACAAAAAAAAATATCACAGGCATAAAAACTCCGTTACTTTTTTTGAAAACAATAAACATAAATTTTGCTTTCTTCTCTTTTTGCTAATTCAGTTGCAAATTTAACTTTTTTAACTTGAATTGTCAACATTTAGTTTACTGTGATTCTAAAACAAGCTTGACTAATTCGTGAAATATATAATTTAATAATAATAATTTATAAGAATTTATTAGAATACATATTACCGCGCGTAAAGTGTCCCAAAAATTGTAAATTTTAAACCTCCATAATTTTCAAAATTTGATTAAGGTGAAAAATCTTTTCAAAGCTAAGCTCTACCAACAATGTCTTTCGGATGCTAGATTTTTTTCTAACATCTAAAAAGTATTGTTGGTGGAACTCAGCTTTGAAAATATTTTCAACTTGTTAAAAGAAACGCTGAATCAAACAACGGATTCTGCCTGAATACAAAAACCACGCCAAGCTTATTGATTCCATTTTCTTCTGCGAAAGTTGGAAAATTTCCAATGATAAAACTTTTCAACTAAAAAAGAAATATGAAAACATCTGTTGCTTCGGGCTCAATGAACCAATTAAAATTATACGTTCTAAATCGGTAAGTTTATTTGAAGTTGATAGAAAAAATGGTAGTTTTTACGGCATATGACTTGCAGTATCAATGAAGCAGATCCGTTGCCTCGGAAATTCCCTTAATTGATACTACTTTTGAACACTTGTATAGAATAGTTTAAACGAGTCTTCATGCTTTTATTATTATAAGTTATTACTTGTCTTGAGTATTCAATTTGAGTGATCATTTTTTATAACTTAGACGATTTTTTAACAAAAGCTTGGATTTGAACAGCATTCCTAAAAAACTTTATTAGAATTCGACAGCAAGAAAAATGTCGACAAAAAATCCTCTTTCAAACCAAAAAAGGATGAATAGTCCAGACCCAGCAAGGTCCAGTAAAACAAAAACTAAAGAAAAAGAGACAGAAAAATTAAAGACGGAATCCAAAACGAGCCCGAAGAAAGGAAAGACAGCAGATGAAAAACGGAAAAAGCAGATGCATCGACTGATTTCTATCGCCACCAAAAGTTTGGAGGATTTGAGCATGGACCGGGTATCAATCCAAAAACAGCAAAAATGCCCACTAAACTACTGTGATCAGCCGGTAAGTCACTTTGGTGCGGCATACAGCTCTGAATAAAAAAATTAGGCCCTTATATCATTTCCTTCGAATACATCTGATTGCAACCTGAAATTTGCAAACCCAAGCAAGACAATGTAACAAAAATGATATGTATTATTTTTTTGCAAGACGAAAGAAAAAGTAGTGTTCTAAAGGAGTATTCCAGACAGCATTTCTCAATCGGAGGGTAACTTGCCCTTCTGATCTGTTTCAGGGCAAAAGTTGGCTGAATGAGTCTCAATGTCTGCTCGAGCAAATCCACGGCTCAAACTCCAAGCTGCACAAGAAGTGATGAAATTATGCAATTTAATAATGATACTGATATTTAGTAATTAAGATAATGAAATTAAGCAAGAAAGAAAATAGGCAGCTCGAAAACTGCCATTCAAACCATGGGCGGATCTAGGATTTTTTCGAGGGGGGGAGGGGGGCGGATTTTCAAAAAACTTTCAACAATTTTGACGACTCCTTTTTAGTTCAACCAAATTGATTTTCGGAGTTCTCCTTAAGCACTAAAAGACGATGTTTTGACCAAATTTTCTCACATGTCAAAAAAGCAGTTTTTGGGCTTTTTTTGGAAAATTTTTACAAAAAAAATTGTGTTTTTTGGCGCGCGCTCCCCCTCAAAATTAGTATATATTGGCGCCAGAGGCGCCTTTGAGAAAAATTTTAGTGTCGGTCGGCTAGAAATGGATTTCTTAAAAAGTACCAAAGGGGGTAAAGTACCAAAAAGTATCTATCAAAATGTAATACTTCATACTTAAGAGCAGGGGAAGATTTAGGGGGACACCCTTGGGGGTTTTGAACCCCTCACTAATCAAAGGACCCAAGCCTTTGGTTCTATTTTATGACATCAATTTTCGGCGACCAACCCTAAAAATTTTCTAGAGGCGCTTTCAATGCCACTTTATAAAAATTTTGTAGAGGAGCGCGCGGTCAAAAAATTACCAAAAAAATGCCCAAAACAACATTTTTACCTGTTTTTTTCAAATATGGTCTTCAAATTGTCATCGTTTTTGTGTCCAGCCTGCAATGAAGATACTCGGACGGTAGAGAAATGGATTGAATTTCAATCCAAATTAGCAGATGATCGGGATCTTTTTCAAAACACGACTCAAAAACGCGCCAAAAAATTTTTTGATGAGGAAACCGCCCTGTCGATTGCGTCAGCCAGGATAACATTCCTGGCTGCAAAATAGTCTTTAAACACATGCATAAACACACAGAAGCAGTCTGAATGAATATCTACAATTTACATTCATTTTAGGCTAGAGAAAACCAATAAAAATCTGAAAGTATTGAGCCAATAAACCTACCCAAAAAAGTTTAATAAAGAAAAAATAAGTGTATAACGAAATAGATAAGTAGAACTAAAAAAAATCTTTGTTATGAACCGGAATGCGGCATCATTGGACCCTCATCTTGCTGTTTGCGGGCTAGCTTATTGCCTTATAGACTTTTCATGTAGGAAACCAGTCTCAATAACAAATCAGTACACATTTTCCGACCAAAACAGTAAGAGGCGAAACAGTAAAAATTAGCTCTTGCAGTGTAAAAAAAAATTAAATGTAAAAGAGAATTCAAAAAAAGCCTAAGTAAAGTTTTTGTTATCAGCCGGAATCGAATCAAGGACCTGTAAATTTGGAGTCTCATACCCTCGCATCAGATTCACAGTCGCTTTGCACTGTACAAACATTTGCCACCAATAAAACTGATAACAGATGTAATTGAATTCTTAACAATCAAACATTTGTTGCGAGGTTGGTTGAAACAATTTTGATTCATGAAAAACCTTTATGCTCGCTTGTGTAAAGACCAAAAACAAACGTCGTTATTTCGATACCACACTAGAATTTTTTCACGACAACTCAGTTTTATATTCTAGGCAACTTGGTTATTCCTTAAAATACCTTTGCAAAAACTTTTGGTACTTTGTGTACGACCATTAAAAAATGGGAAGGAATGTTTAATCGGGTCCGTAATTTTTTTTTGTTTTCCACTAAAAATCAGGTACCAAAAATAATCATCGGAATGGGTCGAGTGATATATCATATTAAAGCTCTTCCAGTCTTGATTCGAACGACATCAAAAAAATTTCCCAGTATTGTGAAACACAGCTGGAAAAAGGTTGATTTATATTCTGAATTTGAGCGAGCAGGCTTACAATAACTTTTTTCAATAGACTACAATTACTTGATTTAAGCCGTGAAAATTAAGTTTTTTGAGTTTTTAGCGCCTTTTTTGAATCTTCAAAAACCATGTGATCGGGTGATTTAGTTATTTTTGTCTTCACGCAAAATCAGATAATAAAAAACCATTGGACTGGGTTGAGTGATATATCATACTAAAGTCCTTTCAGTCGTGATTTGAAGACTAAAAAATTTGCAAAAACTTTCCCATTGCCCAGAAAAAATGGTTTGAAATTTTTAAATTTTCGTGTAATTTCGACCAAAATAACTGTAGATAACTTGTCATGTTGGTCATTTAGGCTCTAAAACTTGATTTTCTAAATGGAAACTAGTTTTGAAAATTATATTTGGCACTTCCCCGGCAAGAGCAAATCAAATTTGTTCGTTATTCTTTTTTGTTCGTTATTCTTTTTTGGAAGACAACTGTTGTCGAGTGTGCCTAATTTACTAACTTTTTACGCCTTTGTTTAGTTTTACACAGAGGCGAAGGTGTGCTTTGCAATTACAAGTGAGGAAACTGCAAAAAAAAACTCAAAACAGGTAAACAAAGTGAAATAAAGACTAAAAATACACTTTGAGAAAAAATATTAGTGATATTAAGAGTATCACTCGTAAATTACTAAAACTAGTCACCAATAAGCAGCTACAGTTTCTATCAAATTGCCAATGCTAAAAAGCAAAACATCGACCAAAAAAAACTATTTTAATGTTCCGGGTTTGAACTTTCTACCAATTGACTAGGAGCCTCACGTCCTCGCATCTGCGCCACTGTCTCTTGGAAGTGAACTAGTGGCCCAGCTAGTGCTGAATATACCTGTTTAAATACTTTTAGTTATATTTTGTGCTGATAACGAAATGCTTAGTTTTCAAAAACTGACATTATGAAAAATCCTAGCAATTTCTATGCTTAAGTAGGGGATTAGCCGCTGAGTTAAGGAAGAAAAAAAACTACTCATTCTTTTAATTGAAGTCGTTATATCAGTTGTGGTGAATAAGTTTTTAAAAAATAACTAAGATTCCAAAAAAAAACGATCAAAAAGTTCAAAAAACTGACTTTTCTTAAATCCGTAACTTTTCTTTTTAAAGCATGTGAAAAGGCTTTTATGCAGTTCTTGGTATTCTCATAGTCATAAATGACCATCACTGAGAGTTAGTTTCACCCAGATGCACTATTCTTAGAAAGTAACAAGTTGCCTAGCTACCCACCTTACGAATCCAAGCTTTTAAAATCCCCGGGTATGAACTCTTCCTAAGATTACATCATAGGATCCACAGTATTAAAACATTGTGGCGTTTACCATTCATGGCAACTTCGGGAAAGCTCATTTTCCACAAATAGCTTTCTCAACATCAGGGGATCTGTAGAACACAGTCCCCCGTTTCTGGTCTCCACTAACACAGAAAGTTGTACCAAAAGTCGACTCTATCCGAAGACATGCGAGAAAACTAATGATACTTGATCTGGTGGCTTTCAAGGCCGGATCCAGCCGGGGCATGTGCAATACAAAAATGTCGAGTGACTCCCAAGGCTTGCGTTTGCCGAAGCAAGGGTCCCCAAGGTTCGCACTTACGTCTTTGAGCACTGGGCAATGCGGCGTGTGACGTTTGCAGAAATGGCCTCGTTGGATGAACAGTCGGTGACATATTGGAAGCACGTGATCCAATACATCGGACAGGTAATAGGAAATACAAATACCTGCCCGCCAGCCCAAAAGCTTAGACCAAATCTCCAGAATATACCGGGGTAGATCCGATTACTGCCAACCCCACCGCAACGGACTACACCACATGGATTTTTCTAGGTCTATATCAGCTTGTGTACAAACAAAATAGGGTAAAACAGATTGCGCAGGGAAAATCTTAGGATCATATTAGTTTGAATGAATCATCAACCTCAGAATCAGCTTATTGTTAGGAAAAAAAGAATAATTTTCCAAAAAACGGTCAAAAATTTGACATTTTCTAAGGCCGTGTTTTTTTTCGCAGCAAAGTTTCGCATTATTGATTGTTTTTCTGTCGCTTAAACTCCTAATTTCCGATTTGGCCGTGTAGTTTTTGATTTTAAAATGGGCTTGTTTGAGGCCAAAATTTTTTGTCTACCAAAATTAGGGAATAGCCGCTTGAGAAGGGGAGATCCCCATAATTTGTTCTCTTGATTGAGATTTGAGCATTCAATATTCAAAGTAAACCAAAAACGAAGCAGTATCAATGGCTTTTAAATGCTCATGCTTAAACAAGCTTAGGAATGATTAACTTGAAACAAATCAAAAATGCCACCAAATGAGTATTTTTATTTGCGAATTGAGTTAGAAAAATACTTCGTAATGCTCTGCTTGTGTAATCAGCACACCAGGTACAAAATAGGACACTAATTTGAAGAACTTAATAAATCGAATTATCTTTATTTGTAGTTTTCACGAGTATGACCGAAACATTCAGTTCTACTTTCACGTAAATGACTTCCCGTATTCAAATTTATAATTTTCCACTTCCCCACATAAGAGCTTGTAAAATTAATAATACAGGAATTAGGAAAACAGTTTTAGTCAAGAGCTTTGAACTATGATTCTTGTTGGCTGATTGAGCCTCCCACTGACAGTATAGGACAAAATTTCACGTATATATATTTTTTAAGTACATCTGTTCTGACTTTTTCTGTTTTTATGTGTATTTGATTTTGTTTGGTACTATGCTTTTGCTGTTTTTAACCCGCCTTTCCAACCTCCGGTCATCCTTCCCTCTCAGAATTTTAGAGTTTGAAAAACTTCTTTAGATTTACACCTTTTGAGATTTCAGAAGTCATTTACCTTTTTTTGTGCCATTTGCATTAGTTATTAGAAGGCAAAAAATTACTTCAAGTCAAATTATTTGCAATGAGCTTTATAAGACTCAAACTCAAACTGCGATACACTAAATTTGATTAAAAAAATTTTCTTTTCTGCTAAAAAAAAACTAGGACAACCCCTAAAGTGTCTTTACATCGTTCATTGACATTTAATCACGCCTGGAGGTACTGAGATAATTTAATTTGTCATCAATCTTCCATTTTGCAGTGCAAGTCATCATTTTTTCACTGGTTCGATCGGATTACAACTGGGTGATAAATTGTTGCGTTATGGGTTGAACATACGACGA